ACACTTGGGTACAAAAAGCTGCACATTTCCACTGTCATTGCCTCAGAGGAAAGATAGAGTTAATTTACCACACTATTGATCCTATAGGGCAACATGTTGTCGCACTATATGGGGTAAGTCGTCACAAATGGAACCTGCCACTAAACAGCCTTCAGAGGCTTTACAGCTCAACTAAAACAGTTATGAAACACAAAACATGAAACAGCAAAAAATGATACAAATATATGTTATACATGTGTGTGACACGGTTTAACTTTTCTTCATTACATGGCTGACTTGTCTGAAAGTTGCCTATGATTTAAATGTGTTGACTTGTTTACAAAATATGAAGATACTGTAATTTTAGTTCAGTGGACAGAATTAGAACAATAAATGCCAGTGTAAGATGGTTTACATCAACTATTGAAACTAAAACCTCTACTACAGAAAACAAGCGTTTATTTAACAAGACTTTGGACTCAAATATCTTAAGATAGGCTACAATTCTTGTAACAACTTCTTCATGTGACAACTAGCCCCAAGTGTTCTCTCGTATATATATACCATTCAATAATTGTTCATAACAGTATTCAAGTATTCATGAAAGGATGATTATATGCATTTAGTCTGCATCTGATGCCATGAGTGTGAGGAATATGGCTTACCAACATCACAGAGAAGAAGAGATGTCACAGCGTGTCTCAGTGTCCAGAGTCTCCAGAACAGCGCGCTCAGTGCTGGAACAGCATGCGGTGGCCAGTGAGCGGAGAAGCGGCAAAACCGGATCCTCCGGGCCACCCCGCCCCAGAGCTGCCTCCGCCTCCAGCGCGCACATAAAGGGTGCGTTGTTACCTGCAGCCGAAGCCGACACACTCCTGTCGCCACGCACGCTTCTCCGGGAGGAGAAACTTATTTTTCTGAAAGATTTGTTCCGTGGAGCGACAGTTTCTTCGTTTTGGCTGTATCGGTTTATTAATTTCTGCCCTGCACTCTTTTATTGCGTCTGTTTATAAAGTAGTACACCCAGATAGCCCACGCGCAATTTATGCCAAATCACACGCGCGAGAGCGCTGTTGCACTGAACATGGGGCATAATCGCAGCCTTGCTGATATTCAGTGATGTGATGTTTTTATACACTCCAAACAAAAATGGTGCTGTATAGCACTAAAAGTGGTTCATTGGCTTGTAATCATAGGGGAAACTCTTTACGTGCTATACAACATCTTTTGCCAAACGGTGATGTTATGGAGATTTTAGATATGTTACTCCACTCTCATACAGTATGTTTGCTATGAATGGGAAATTACTACAATAGCAAAAGCTGTTTTGAATCACTTTTATGCTTTTCTGAGGTCAGAAAGTCTCATGTGGGGGCCCTGGAATATTTCCTTATGGGGGGGCCTTGGGGGCCGAAAGGTTGAGAACCACGTTATCTTCAGGAAATACACTGTATTTTAATGTCATTTTTTAATCCTTTCCTCAAGAGGAAGTTAGAGAACCTTTAAAGAACTTACTGTTGTGTTCGCTTTGCATGTTTTGAAGTGTTAACTTTGAGGGACCCATCCACTTGCATTATATGGCTCATGTTTTTCTAAAAAAATCTCCATTATATACATCTGGGACGGCATTAGGGTGAGTAAATGATGAGAGAAAAGTCATTTTTGTCTGGAGTGTCCTTTTAAGAAAGCTCCGTAATCAATCCACTCCTGGTTTTACATTCAATTAACTATAATAGGATGTGTTATTTTGTATTAAATGAATCAAGCATCCTTATCCTATCAGGTAGCCTACTAAGTAACAGTTTTCTTCACAGTAACAGATTCACTGAGTTCAGGTGTCTGGACTGCTCTGTATGCGCTCCATTCATACCGGTTAACGAACAGTTGAAGCTATTCATCCCATACTGTTGAGGTCTATTTTGGGTTTTACGGTTACCCTGTTTGGATCAAGATGGTAGTGCTTTCTTGGACTAATCTGTACATAGACCTATATATATATATCTATATATATATATATATATATATATATATATATATATATATATATATATATATATATATATATATATATATATATATATATATATATATATATATATATATATATATATATATATATATATATATATATATATATATATATATATATATATATATATATATATATATATAAAGCAAATAGTTGGCAGCAAAATTTGTATGGCCTTTGTTTTTGTAAATGTTACACTGATTAAACTGGAAACAATTCACAATTTTTCTCAATCCAATAGCTAAACAGCGCCTTCTACTGGCCAGAAAACGTGACACATCCTTAAATATTTCCATCCATAAACTTTTAAGGTGTTTTGACTGAGTAGCGTTTAAGTATGCAAAAATAACAAATAACTGATCATTTCAATCACGTCTGGTATAAAATAAAGTAAAATAAAATTAGTGATATTTTTAAGCTAGATTTTACCCTATAAACCAGAAAAAAGAGTGTAAACGTGGTCTGTTAAAGGGATTGTTTGCATTGGTTGGTTGGTTGTTGTAATGGGAGTTTCTGTCCTTACAGTTTGAACATTACTTGACTGACATTTTTGTCACGCACCCAGTAATATACAAACAACTTAAGTATATATGCTCATTATGGTGTGCAAATCAAGTGCACAAAGCTTTTCCCATCCTTGAGATACAAAGGGAACTCAGACTGAGGCTGAAAAAAAATGTTGACAGGCTGTAAATGGTTTCAAAGGTCAACCACAGAATTGGCTAATTTATGTTACTTGATCAGTGTGTTTGTAACAGAATGTGAGCTATGGGAGCCGTGGCATTTTCAGAGGGGAACACTGGTTGGTTCATTTGATTAGTGCTGTAACTTGGTAACAAGCATGCTTAAACAGGAAAGCACAGGCCAGTTAAGTCTGAATGAAAGTTACAATATTGGACCTCACTGACTTTCATTGTACGGACAAAAACAAAACAAAACAAAACAACAGTGAGGCATTTTTCAAAGCATTTTCTTTATGTTCAGTGGAATAAAAATGCATACAGGTTTGGAACAAACAAAGATGTGCTCTAAATTAAATGAAGAATGTCCGTGGACTATTTATACGTCATATCACAAATGTTACTTTGGATTTAAGCCATTTTCTTTCTATATTTGGTGCTTTGGGTCATCTTCCTGCTGGCCTCTACGTCATTTCTCCTAAAATTACACCTTTTTGGTAGCTCAATTTTTTAGGACGACCACTCAGGTCAAATATATTTTTTACTCTGAGTCTTTTGAGATAGGACACTCAGCAATGTCTATGCTGTTTAATGTATTTCGCAAACCCTATCTATCTATCTATCTATCTATCTGTCGTTTTACGCTGTGGTGTGTTGGGGCACTGGTATGAAAGGGGGTGATGCTAAACGGCTGAATAAACTCATCAAAAAAGCGAGTTCTGTCATTGGACTGGATCTGGTCCCTCTGGAGGTGGTTGCTGAGAAGAGAATGATGCACAAATTGCTAGTCATTATGGATAACACCACTCACCCTCTAAATGACATGCTTGTTGCATTAAGGAGTAATTTTAGTTGAAGACTGATCTTGCCTCGGTACAATAGTGAACGGTATAGAAGGTCTTTTTTACCTACTGAAGTTAGACTGTATAATACATCTCTCGGATGCAGAGGCACCTTTGAACTTCTAGTGAGCTAGATAGTTAAATTTATTTTATATCTTTACCTGTATACCTTATTTTTATCCTAATATCTGAAGGGAAATTATCTGTTTTACCTGTATTTATTATTTATTTTTATCTATTGTATTTATTTTGTGTTGTATGGTTTATGTTTTGGCTGCTCATGCAAACCAATTTCCCTGCGGGGATTAATAAAGTTTATCCTATCCTATCCTATCCATTTATGCCAATAAAGAACCTTTATTTTTAAGACTGTATATTTGTGAATTACTTTAAATCTGAAGACATATTCCTCCAAACTAACAGACATTTACAAAAAATGCCAGCTAAAAAAAGGTACAAAAGCTGTCCCTGGGACGTCTCCTTTCAAAAGGTACACATATCTACCATATAAATACTAATATGCACATACAGTACAAAAGTATTAAGGTATATTAGAAAACGTTGGACTATTTGGTAAATTACTATTTTGGTATTCTTCTAAAACATTAATTAATCATTGCTAATTTAAATTTCAACATGTACGAATACATTTTTAAAATCAAAATGTATCTGTTAGGTTGTTGTAAAGTGTTATGAATATTTGTCTGTCTTATCTGTCTGTCATCTATCTATCTATCTGTCTGTCTGTCTGTCTGTCTGACTAACTTACCAACTTGAAACCTTTCCATTTAGCTATTTAGTTTCCATTAAATCATCCTGCATGTTAAAATAATAAAGGGCATCTTTTGATTACCTCTTCAGGTCATCTGGTCCCGTGCACATTCCTGTAATGTGTCCAAGGATTTGGGAAAGATCTTCATGTCACTTCCTTCAGGCTGCATCCTGCAGAGGATCACGTTCTTGACTGTCGAGGCGGAGTTTAGGTATAGGGTCAAAGTTTTTTCACAGAATTCGGATCGTTGCTCCCAAAAACTGCGGACAAATGCTGTGTTTGCCGTTAGCAACATTGTTTCAGCAACACAACAGGTACATATCCATTTTGCGTCATTTTAACTTTTTGTTCCTTTTAAATTGAGCGCGCATTAAATAGCTTCACTGAATAATCGGAAAAATGTCAATGTCACGGTCGAATTCATGTGAAATTAGAATTAAAATGACCAGATGCATTAACAGTTTGCCTTTAAGTCAGTCAATTGTCTTATATTTAGTCGTCGATATTCGGAAAAGTGTGTGTAAAATATAGCTGACTTGAATGTTCAAATGTTGCAGGAAATCACGAGTTAAGCTCAAGTCACGGATGAAGAGTCAGTGTTTTATGATGCACGTAGACACTGTCGCACAAAAGACAGAAAAAAAACGCTTTATACTGGAGTATTGTGTAGTGATGCTGCACTTATGTTTTATTAATTGTTTTGCGTTGTTTCTTAAAGTAAGATCTCCGTTGAGGATTTTTTTGTAGATGGTGGCACGCAAAACTTTTTCTACAAGGTCAAGATTTGAATATTACGCCGTTTTAAAGTGGCGATAGTGTCACTATTGTATTGAACTGTCTTTTCATACAGCAAATTTTAGATTTGATTAACTAACAATTATATATAATTATAAATTATAATTTTTTGATTGATTATTTGATATTTCTGAATATTACCGTTTACATTTTTCATTAACGGATTTGTAGAATACTGTTTAATACTGAGTTTTGCTGTTTAAATGCTGAAAATGAAGGTGTAATTGAGCTGGTTGTATATGTCTATGCCCTGCTGGTCAGTGAATTGTATGTTTCTTGTTATAGTGTTATCGTTAAATAATAAGATCGTTATATATTTTTTGGAACAAGGCTGCAGGGCATGTGTCTATGCATAAATTAATTTGAATAAAACGCCCTGAGAAATAAATATTCACTTGAGTAAAAGTGTGACAGCTAGCAGTCACCTACATTTTGGTTCAAGCCGTCTTCATTATGAAATCTCGCCATAATTTAACACAGTCACAAATTCGAATACTGAATGTATGATTCAAGTACAATTAAAAATCTTTAATTTTCTGTTAGTGTTCAACTCATGTGAACCCCGAGAAAAATGTCCCGTTTTCTGAAGCATTTCACAGCGGTGGGTGATGAGCAAAACACCGCCGCACAGTGGCAGGACACGGAATTGCACGATGTCAGTGAAGACCTGGAGCGCGCCACAGGACAGCACCTGGGACAGGTCAGCTTCAGGGACTCCCTACGCCGCCTCTACAGTACAGAGAGGTTCCAGGTAAATGTTTAAACTCTTTATATGTATATAGATATGAAATGTTGTTTACATGATTGAAAATAACCTTGGACTGTTATTTTGTTGATTAGATTTTTGTTGTTTGCTTGGTCGTCTTGGATGCCATTTTCGTTCTGTGTGAGTTGCTTATTGACTTGTCTATCATTCAAGCAGATCATCACAGAATCGCTCCGCAGGTGAGTCCACTTCAGATGCCTAGTCGGCAAAAAACATGGATGTCATATTTCTGTTGACACATTATATGTCAGCGATTATTCTGAGGTTATCCTCTATCCAAATGTTCCTGCCATTATTCCAGGTATTCCATTATCTCAGCCTCACCCTTCTCACATTCTTCATGGTGGAACTGTTTGGAAAAATCTATGCGTATCGTCTAGAATTCCTCCACCATAAGTTTGAGGTGTTTGATGGGATTGTGGTGGTGGTATCCTTCATCCTGGACATTGTATATATCTCAAAGGAAGATGCATTTGATGCCATGGGGCTTCTGATCTTGCTCAGGTTGTGGAGAGTGGCCAGGATCATAAATGGTATGGGGATTATTTTGACCCAGCAACTAAATATTAGAAAAATGTTCCGGTATGTTTAACTTACCAAACTGCTGGTGTTAGGAATTATTGTTTCCATGACACTCACAATCTAACCTTGGGGGTTCACCAAGGTTCTGTACTTGGTCCATTTTACTTAAGTAATTACATATTTATGTACATTATCGCTAAATATCTCTATGGAAAATTAATGCAAGTTTTACTTGGAACCCAGCTGTTGCATTATTCTCTAATGTCTAGTCTAATCATTTTATTTTCCTTTCTTACTTTGCTCTCTTATAGGTATAATTATGTCTGTGAAAAATCGTGCCCATCACAAAGTTCAGAAAATAAAAGAGATCAATGAAAACCTTGTACATCAAGTCAATGAACTTCAAGAGCGACACACAAAAATGGTGAGTAGCTCTTCTTAAAAAATTTGTCATGATTAATTTAATTAATTACTAAATTGATAGTGGTTTTAATTTAATCTTTCAACAGGACCAAGAAAACGCCAGGCTTCGTGCGCTCTTAAAACAGCACGGCATTGAGTTTTGATGCTCCAAGGTTATTCATTAAACACATCACATGAGACTGAGCTTAAGACTAATCATGTCTATTCATTCCATATGAAATGTGAAGAAGGTCATATTACAGTGTGATGTGTTTATTGTCACTCAAAGCCAAGCCGATCTTGATCTTTGTCCCCTGGCAGATCTTTAACAGCACACATAAAGGGAGATGATTTTTAAAGCCAGTGACTCACGTAGGTCAAATCTATAAAGTAAACAAGTTTTTTTTCTAAATCACTATTTTCCAAAATCATTATCAGTATTGTTGTTTTATCTATGAACTGTACATTTAATGTTTTCTCATTATAAATGTGAATGTGTTTGAGCAACTGAAAGCTATGCAATAAATACTATTTTGTAAATGAGATATGAAATATAAATAGACCAACATATCTGCCTGGCTGATGAATTGGCTTATTAACAGTAGTGGCTTTCGCTCATGTAACAGTTCCAAAATTAACAACAGATTTTACAATGGATAATGCACATTTTATGTTCTTAAATTTTTTAGTGAGTTGAGTAAATATTATTAAAAACAGTGTTCATTACACATTTTGTGCATGTCTTGACTTGAAATTGAATTACGCTGTATAAACACATACATATACTGTATATACCACTATTGTTCCACATCAGTCCACTAGTATGAAAATATTCTTTATTTTTTAAAATGTTAATCAGTGCATTATATTCAAAATGACTAGACAATAAGTATATACTATATACAACTTCAAGTGAGACAAAATTTTCAAAGAAACATGGTTCCAGAAACAGTGGTCCTCCTTTCATGTTGTTGCCAAAAAAAGATACTGAAATATTCCATTATACAAATGGAAAGAAAAAGTCAAAAGGTAGTTTAGCATCAATTGTAGGAGGAACTTTGAATCCTGGACTGGCAGATGCAGACACATCAACAAAACTCACTGAGCTTGTGACAGACAGAAGACCATCGGCACTAGTAAGGAGGGCCTAAACAAAGAAAGGTTCCAGTGTTAACTTTTGATCTAATTTCACATTAAATCTGTAATGATTTCGGTTTACTAAATACAACTATTAAGTAATCGCTGTAAGTCATAAACGTTAAATGTTCCGGTATGTTTAAATTACCAAACTGCTGGTGTTAGTAATGATTGTTTCCATGACGCTCATAATCTGAGCCTGGGGATTCACCAAGGTTCCGTACTTGGTCCAATTTACTTCAAGATGGTAAGACAGTGGTATGCTGCACGCCTGTGTGCCCTTGATAAACCATAAAAAGAGTGAAGCAAGACATTTGTTGAAAGAATAAACAGTGCTTTACAAATCAGCTTTGCATCATCATGGTGACCGCCAGCCAAGTTTACATGTCAACATTTCCTCTAACTTAAACACTTCTCTTTCACTTCACTTCAGCATCCGATCTCCACTCCACACATAGAGAAAATTATAATAAGTAGGCTGTTTATCGATGCTATGGTTTGGTTCTGTATTGGCACCCAGTCCAGGGGGTTCTGAGGCAAGGAATTCCCAAATGAGGCTACATGGTCAGGGAAGCTCTGGCCTTTTAGTGCCCACAAAATGACTTCAGATACCAGAGAACAATTAATTCCATCGGACAACCTACAGGAAGGGAGGACATTAATGCACATAAAAGAGTAATGGTGATAAATATTACACACAAATCATTATAACAACAGCCTCTTACTTCAGAGTGCAGCCTGATAGCATGTCAATCCCAAACAGAACAGGGGAGCGCCTTGATGAGCCAAACAAGCAATCCTGATCTCCCGAGTTTTGGAGGATAGTAAGTGACCCTTTTGGCTCAGCGGATTGAACTATCCCAGTAAAACAGAGGTCAAGGACTTTGCAACAAAGGTGGATATTTGGATACATGACAGGCTTTCCATTTATTTATTAAATTCTATCATGATAATGAAAACACCAGCACACTTATGAAATACTCATATTTTTTATATAGGGGATCAAACTAAATAATACTAAGAGAGTTATCTTTATCACGTTTGATATTTAGGTATCAAACGGTACCAAATTTTTGTCATTTTTATTAATATTTTTCCCCATGACATTAATGATTACTGATTACTGACATTAATTATTAACATGCTGCCATACACACAACATATGGGGTATTTTTTAGAAACATTAGGCAATATTAATAATTAATGTTTGAAATTCCACCAATATACATGATATAACTTTATTTAATTAATTAACCTGGACATATTTACTGAATATATTTTTATTAATAGATTCAAATTTTGATATCGGTATTTAGCTTTAAAAATAACCAAAACATTGTGGTGGACAGTTTTTTGGTGCTGCATGGCAAAATTGTAATTTTGCTTTGGGGTTTGTGTTAATTGTTTTAGTTATCCTGAACTTAGTTTAGAGAAATGTCTAAACAGCTGAGGAAAAACTGTGTTGTACATATCAGGGAATAAATGATTGATGTCCAGTGCTAATGAAAAATGAATGATGCAATTGGTTATGTTTCATGACAAAGGAGGCATCTGACCAAAGAGTTTATAATAAAGGATATTCTGTTGTTCTTGTCCCAGCCACTAGGGGCCGTCCCACCACATAGCCAGGATTGCCACTAAATAACAACACTGGTGTGCTAGAGATCTCCTGTCAATGAATGTACACAAAACTATTACTTCCTTTTTGTAAAATAAAATTAATTAATTTGACATAACTTTAAATAAAATAATACATTTTAAATAATTACAATTATTTCAAGAAAATATGTAAAGGGTAGAATTAAATACCCGCAGGAACGTAATCTGAAACTCTTGCTGAATGGGCACCATGACGCTTTTAATGGCTCCCAGCAAAACTGATGCTATCACATTCAGGATTTCCCCAGCTTCACTGTATCTGAAAGTGTACTTCACCTGACAGAAAAGTTATGGTTTTGTTAAACAGTTTATGATTCCTGATACTTTTCAGATTTCTGATTAGTAACATATACATTATGTGCACACCTGCTGTACAACGTTGTTGCAGACGTCAACAGACTCCAGAAGCACAGGAATATAGGACACAAGGTTAGCTGGGTCCACCGGTGTCTGTGTGCCCTCTAAAGACTGGAGAGTAATGGCTGCCACCTCCACACCAATGACCTCAGGTAACAAACAGAAAGCATGTAAAATTAATATGCAGAGTCAATGTCTTTAATGCAAATAGTACATCATATGACATTCTATTGAACAACTGTTTACTCTGGCTTCCTGGATCTTTCCCTAGAGAAAAAAAAACAAGGGTTGTTAAATAACACAGTAACAATAAAACCCCTTTCAGACCAGTGTTAGTTTTGACAGCAAATTTTGATTTAATTTTAGTCATAGTCTTTTGACACTAAATTAGGCTGCTATCCCTTTAAAACCGAATGCACAGCTGCAATGGATGCAATGTACTGATACACGTTCTCCCTGCTGTTTACGTTCACTTAAGACGTAATCAACTGCGTTTACTCAGTTTATACTCGTCAAAACGGACAATTCGACATCATTTTGTGTGTAATTCTCCGTTCATGAGACGCAAAAGAGTCCTCGCGTGCTGTGAGAGGCGCTTTCTGTGTGTGTGTGCTTCAGTGTCTGCGCTCAGAAAACCGGACCGAATTGAGTTCTCTCTTGCATCGTCAGATTTATCCATATGTCTGCTCTTCTCTTACTCCCACATATTGACATTTCTGAACGTTTTATGCGACGTGCAGCAAGTGTATGTTACCATGCAGCAGATTCGTTCTGAATGAATCTCTTCCCAAATCATCCCTCCCTAATATTTTCGTCTAGTTTTTATTCGTTGACGAAAATGTCAATAGTCATAGTTTTTGTCATTCAAAAAGAGTTTTAGTTCGTTATCGTCTCGTTGTCCTCGGTGAAAAAAATGTCGTTGACGAAAATTATGACGAAAATTATGTCTCAACTAAATTAATACCGTTTCAGACTTTGGTTTGAAGACTGAGATGTGACAAGGAACTCACAGAACGGATGTTGAAAATAATATAAGTCTCCCAGCGCAGAGCTTCTAGTGTTTCACAATCTCGCGCCAAATCAAAGCTCCTCATGCATCTGCTAGTCTGGTCCTTCAGAAAAACTGTAAAACAACAGGGTATGTTTAGCAACATATTAGAACATCTAGTCAGGTGCAAGTGACTCAACCCCAACAGGAAAACACAAAAATTATAACCACTAATCCTACATATCACACTGCTATATGAATGTTGCCTCAAACCATGAAGCTTGTTGTTGCTATTAAAATACTGTTTGGACATGCAGCATTAACATTTTCTTCAGAATAAGTTGTTGTTCTGTCCTACCTGCAGGGTTTGGTCTGAGCAGTGAGCTGTTCCTGCGGAGGCAGGAAAGGTGAAGAACTCCTGCTCTCCAGCCTCATTCACTGTTTGAATGACATCTCCATACTGAGGACAAAACAGAGACAGAAACATTGCTTAACCTTACTGTATCATATTTTGACCTCTAAATTATCAACTTGATCAAAGGTTTACCTGATTATCCATACATCATTTCAATCATGTTCAAATGTGAGTATCAAATATGATCATTAGGAAACTTGAGGAATGTTTATTTGTTCAAGCCAGAGAGTGTGCAAGCTAAATGTCCCATCATAAATATTTGATTACAATATCACAAATATTTAGTTACAATTGATCCTCAAATTATCAGATAATGCAACATTTGAACACTGAGACTCAAACTATGCTTTCAATTCATGTTTAAATACCAGAAAAAAATGTTATTTTTAAATTTACACTTTTACACATTTTCTTTTATTTATTTTTTAATAATAAATACATTATATAATAAACTATATTTGACATAAATCTAAATATTTGACATTCTTTCCCATATTCAGCAAAGCTCATATTCTTTTCTCATAATCAGCGAAATCACATTTCTAAAAGTAAAATCAAAATTGTGGTTCCTATAACGCTGAATAAATTCAATAACGTCAGAATTGATTTTAACTGTGCAAACTCCAAGTACAAAAAAGTACTAAATGTAAACTAAACAATGTAGAGCAAATAACGTTAATATCATCTTTAAGTTTTTTTTATAGAACATATTAAATAATTAGTTCACCCAAAATTATAATTGCAGAACATTCAGCCTAACATTGCCTTTTGTTTTCCACTGATGAAATAAAATACAAATTACAATGAATTATGACAGAATTTTGAGCGAAATCTTCATTTAATTGATACTTCTTTCATCTTATTAGTTATGAGATATTTATATGGTATGGGTTAAACCTTCTTCCAGAGGATTTAATCTACTATCCCAGTTTCCTCTTGAAACAAAGCTGACCTGACTCTTTCTGCTGTGCAGTCAGTGAACAGGGCCAGCTCCTCAGTGCAGTCTGGATCACAGCAGCAGTTTATGTCACACTGCCCGTTTTGCAGGTTGCACGGACACAGCTGAGAGACTGAGCAGGGAAAGAGGAAACCACTTTGTTGGTCGAATCATTAAGGCATGATATACAGATGACTGTCTGCATTCTCACCTTCGGTAACCGGGGTGGGAAGGACACCGGAGAGCGGCAGAGGCTGCGCTGCTGTGGCGGCTCGCGGGGATTCGGGGCTCGTGTTGGGGATGGAGCTCTCGGAGGACTCGGTCTGACCGGGGAACGCCGTCACGGATTCGGGAGTCCAGGCTGTTGGAGCTGGGAAAGAATCCGGAGATTCACTGACTCCCAGATCGGTGAAATTAAGCTGTTCGTCTCGATCAGCAGACGTGTCGTTTGTGTCTCTGAGTGTGATATTAAAGTTTCCTGTAGCGTTCGTGTCTTCAATGCAAAGCGCTCTTTCTAAATATGTCAAAATAATAAGGCAACACAACACCGCCATGCTTGGAAACAGCGCGTTGTCATCATTGGTATCCAAGAAGTGAAATGCATTGTGGGATTGCGAGTGAATTGAATGTTCATTTCTCTACCATAAGCCGTCTCCAAAGGCGTTTCAAAGAATTTGGCAGTACATCCAACCGGCCTCACAACCGCAGACCACGTGTAACCACACCAGCCCAGGACCTCCACATCCAGCATCTTCACCTCCAAGATCGTCTGAGACCAGCCACCCGGACAGCTTGGGGGCAAAAACAAAAGTGTTGCGTTTATAATTTTGTTCAGTGTATATATATATATAAAATGAATACTTATTCAGTAAGGGCACATTAAATTGAACAAAAGATTTCAAAGAATCCTTAAAAAACGTATCACTGTTTCCAGAAAAATGTTAAGATATTAAGTAACAAAAGTTTTTAACATTGATAATAACAAATACATTATTAATAATTAAGCACCAATAATGTTTCATAATAACTGAACACCAAATCAACATATTAGAATGATTTCTGAAGGATAAAACATTTTATACAATATATTTTATATAAAATATAAAAAAATATTAAAATGCAAATTCAATTGTAATTAAAAAATAAGTATAATTTAACAGTTCTTTTTAATTGTAATGTTTCACAATATTTCCTTTTCAATTGTGTAAAACATTTTAACTTTATTTTATATTTATATTTATTTTTATTATATTTATTTTAATATTTTAACTTTTTTAATTTTATATCATTTTAAAAGTGAGAATTTTGTTTTGGACTTTTTCAATGTGAAAGTTTCTCATTAAAATCAACTGTAAAACAACGTTTCGACTTAAATACTCCACATCAGTACAGAGTTTAGTACTGTATGCAATGTAAAAATAAACGAAGATGGTTTCCTTGTCACCTCCACAGAAGTCAGAAGAGCGATCAATATTTTAGTTTAAAAAGGGCTCCAGCACGTGTTCTTCCACTACGTCCTTGGGTTTCCACTAGGCTCTACGTCCCCGCAGCCGGTCATGTGACCTCAGGGCCCGTATGTGCTTGTCTCCGGAACACGGGCGCTAATGAGCAAGTACGCGAGAGGATGTCGGATAGGATGGAGTGTGCTGGAGGAACTTTGTCTGTTAAATCCGACAAGACATAAAACAGCCATACACCTCACGCGTCCAGCATTCACCGAAGAAGAAAGGAGCCTTGCATCACTTTTAAAGCGGCTTGCTTCGGCTCGTGTGGTTGATCTGCGGTGCGCGGAGCCGGATGTCGGCGCACAGAGGCGGACCCTAGAGAGACGGGAGACGGGCTCGGCAGCTACACGCTTACCGCATACCGTCGGGGATGTTGTCGGTACTCTCCTATGGCAGGATCGTTGCCAGGGCTGTCCTGGGCGGACTCTCGCAGACGGACGGCAGAGATTACAGCCTGATCACGGCCAGCTGCGGCTTCGGGAAGGACTTTCGGAAGGGGATCCTGAAGAAAGGCATGTGCTACGGCGACGATGCCTGCTTTATTGCCCAGCACAAGTCCGCTGATGTCTTGGGTGAGTGCCACCAAAATTCAGTGCGTTATATATCACCTGCACATGTTGTTATGGCACGGTGAGCAGCTTGTCAGGGACTTTTAATTATGAAAGTGACCTTCACAGCGAGCGCTCATTTCGTGATGGACGGGTGTGCGGGACTATGAGTCCAGCCCTCACCTGAAATAACCTCCCTCTTTGTGAATCTCTGGGATATACTTGATCCCACCTGTAGATTTAACACGCGTTCCTTAAATATGGAGCAACCGATTATAAATATTATACATCACATAACACATAAAAAATATACATTTAATGCTAAATGATTTTGGGTAATCCAGGGTGACCTTTCACCCAGAAAGACGCCAGGCTGAACCCCCAAAGCGCGACTAGCGGCGGAAACTAGAATGGTTTCCCCGTGAAACCTTTCCATCATGGAAACACGGATATAAATGATCTGTTGTTGAAGTCAGGCGTGCTTAACATTAATAGATTTCTCCGATCGCGTGTGCTTAGACTCTATAAATGTAATTTACGCTGCGAATATTTAAGTAATTCGACCTGTTTAAAGAATGCAATGGGCATAAAACATGTATACATGAACTCGATTATATTATGTAGGAGTCGTAAGGGCTCGCTTGTAAGTGTTGCAGGAGCTCTTGTAAAGGTCAGAATGGTTGAGCATGGAGGCGGCCATGTTTACTCACATCCACGTTCTTGTGACACACACAGGAGGCTTCATTGACCACAGAAACATTCTCTGTCATATTTACAACCTAGAATAATAATCCTCATATAATAGTACCGGATAGTTTTCGCTGGAAGAGCTCCGAATAATGTGCAATGTTCTCAAGTTAACAAGATACAGGGAAACAAAGGATTCCCTGTTACATTCACGTGCTACAATCAATGTTCAGCTTTTGTTCCAGACTCAGCAGCACGTGAGTAGCAGACCAGCTGTTCAGCACCAAAGTTAAACTGTGGCTCTGCGTAACGTGCATCAAAATACCAGTTACTGCACTTATTGACTCATGTTAAACCAGCCTTTTGCATTTTCTAAAGTGGTGCTTGTGCAATACTTGGTCACTGTTCTTGGGCATTGCTGTGTGTGGCTGTTAAGTGGATATAGAGTGCAGTAGTCAGGTTCCAGAAGGAAAAATCCCATTAAAGTTTTTTAACCGGGATTTCATTTTTAAAGCATTAACAGACGAGACCTGCTGTGAGCTGCAAGATTGTTAAACAATGGTAAACGCTTTTGTTGAAGCCATCAGCCCATTTATTTTTAACGTATTTTGCAAATAATCATGCTTAACAGCTAAAAAAACTACATTACTCATGATTCTGCTGCGAAATCTACACCAATCAGAGAATCGCAACAAAATGAAGCACTGCAAATGACTTAAAGGGGTCATATGATGTTGCTAAAAAGAACATAATTTTGTGTATTTGGTGTAATACAATGCGTTTATGCAGTTTAAGGTAAAAAAAAAACATTATTTTCCACATACTGTACATTATTGTTTCTCCTCTATGCTCCGCCTTTCTGAAACGCGTTGATTTTTACAAAGCTCATTGGTCTGAAAAGCGAGGTGTGCTCTGATTGGCCAGCTATCCAGTGCGTTGTGATTGGCCGAATACCTCAAGCCTGTGACGGAAATGTTACGCCCCTCACCATATTGTGATGCCGTGTCTCGGTCGGAGCGACGAGACAAAAACATTAAAACATTTCCATATTTAAAGAATGTGCCACTTGATGATTCAAACGCGAGTTTTGGGCAAAAATTATGTGTTTTTTAACCTTAAACCACATAAACACATTTCATTACACCAAATACACCAAATAATGTTCTTTTTTAGCAACGCCATATGACCCCTTTAATTGAGTCAGTCTCCCTGCACTTGCAATTTACTTATATTTGTATAAATATGCATATTTTGCAATCAATGTAAAATATACAAATTCTGTATATAAAATCAGCATATTTAAATCAATAGTTTTATATTTATGTCACTGGAGAGGCTTCATGGGATTGTAGTTCATTCCCTCATTAAAATTTAAGTACAGAATCAAAGTTTGTTGTGATTCACTTCACAACTGGTTGGTTTGTTTGCATCATCTCCCTTTATAAACTTGATTTATTTTTAAAAATTTGTCTGTTTGTCTCTGTCCACTGAGTCTAGTGAATTCCTATATTTACTGTCACATGTCTTTAAAGGTCAGTAGATGATTTTCACTTTCCGCTCCAATTAGCTTAATGAACCGGTCTTATAAAACAGGAAGAAACAGCTCAGGGGTTTATTTGGTGCCATTATTAATTCAGTGGTCCGTTTTCTCAGTGGTTCCTGTTGAAGTTTCAGGGGAACCTTTGAAATCCCATTATCCGTTGGATGCGAGTTGTTCAGTGAAACACTTCTCCAGGAGTTTGCAGAGATGTGCTCGGTCACAGCCAGAAACAGTCCTTAATCCAGCAGTCATTACAGCTGAACATTGGCACCAATCACATATGTAGCTTTTTATTGTCTCAGTTTTTGCAGACATTTGATATTCCATTTAACAGCAATAAAAAGTGATCATATAAGACGGCTTGCTTGGAGGTTTCAGTTTTATCATTTGTAGCTGTGCCAACTGGAAGTAATGTGTTATTTTCACTCATGTTGATGGTATGCCCAAAGTCTATAAATATGGTGACACATTATATCCACGTCATATTATATGTCATGCATTTATGGCCAAATTGTGCAGCCCTGCACAGCAAACCAATTTTTTTTTTTTTACATTTTAAAAATCAAATTTTTTTATAATTTTTCACCCAAATCGTGCAGTACATGGTTATATATGTTCATATATCAAATATATTAAAAATGGCAATGATACCCATTTTAATTCAGCTAATTAAATACAATGGGTCAAAGACATGTTCACAATAAAGAACATGAAAAACATAAAGTAATTTAAAACAAGTCAAATTCTTAGAAATATTATCTTTCCATTCATGTTCATTTAATTTGATTTTGCAAAACGTCTATACCATTTTCAAGAAAAGTTTCAATTGAATGTCTGTGAAATTGTAAAGCGTAATAAATATCACGATCATAAATTTCATTGTTTTTGGGCAGTCGCATGCACCACATGCCATGAGACACTTTTTAAAGCCAGTGTAGAAATCGAATAAACACCCATCTGTCATTTAACACTTTACGTTAAATACAGACGCCGCACATATGCTCTCTGGGTGACTGTTTGTCACAAAGTTGCGCTTCATACATAAAGTGAGGTCGTTGTATGGCAGCGCTGGAATCTGCCTTCAAATATGTGCTGGTGTAAACAGATGGATGTTTCTCTGAGGGCAGTTTCCTTTAGCTCTTTTGCTATGGTAAATATGGTCGTCTCAGGTTAACGTTTATGAAACAAATGTTTGTGTATTAAAGATTTGAGTCTTGGAATCACTTATGTGACATCACGATTTGGCCTGGATATTGGACGTCTATGTGGCGTTATAAAAAAAAGTTTCTTCCTGCAAAGTGTTACGATACAGTATGCACCAGGTTATATTGTCACATTCTCTTTAAGTTTTTTTTTTTTTTTTT